TCTCTTAAATGCATTTAAATAGTAACAAACATTCAATATACTAATTAACTTATAGATATAAACTAACAAAATTGGTAAATGATTACATTTAAAAAGCTAAAGTTATTTTGCTGTTTCAAATAAAGTTATTCACAGGTGATGCAGTTAACACTCCAATTAAAAGTCCTTATTTTTGGCAATAATCCATTTTTAGGCTGCATTAATAAAAAAACACATCAGGCTATCACAACTGCAAATGCACTTGGAGCAGAAACTTGTGTAAAACATTCAAATTGAGAAACCAGAGCACTTGAGCACAAGTTCCCAGTTACACCCAAAATATAAACTCTACCCCATCAGGTGCATATGGCCTTTTATCCAATTCCTCAGGGTTTCTACTGAAATTTTGCTAAATTTACAAGAGGTCAAAAAAAATTGCAAAAATTCCGTCTTCAGACATTTTGAACACCAACTTGTTCTGAACACAGATTTTAAAATAGCAAATTACATAAACAAGTACATGTATTTTCAAAGTACAACTGCCAATTCTGAATCTTTTATTCTGGATTGCCTTTCAGGATTATAGCAAGTCTAGCAAACTAAAATAAAATTTAATAAATGCTTTGCTTCTGTACCACTACATGCATTTCAGAACACTGAAATCATTGTCAATGGAAACTCTCCAGTTTAATTGTTACAGTTCTTTAGGGTTGTGTACATTTATTTCATAGCAATTAAAGTGGTTCACAAAGCCTTTGAGTGCAAGTCTCAGCATTATCGGCTAAGTGCAATAAATGATATGCCACTGAATCAGACAGATAAGAAACATCATGCTGAGTTAATCAATATTAGGCAGCTGTAGTTGGGCACCACAGCTGGTGTCCATATCCCAGGGCAGAGAAAGAAATCAGAAAGGTTTCTTTTGTTTGCTGTCCAGCAGCTGGAAACTGCAGGTTTGCAGCTTTCAATTGAGGACAAATCTGGGCTTAACTGTACCATCAGCTGCTGAATGGACAGCAGATAACAACTGTCCAAGTGCAGACATTAAGCACAGACACTTGAATGAAGCAATGGAAGGATGCCAGCACCACAGATCTTTGCAAATTGAGTGTCAGCATCTTCAGGGGTTAAGTAGCTGAGTGGGAGTGAATTGGGGATGTTGTGGGGCAGGGGGAGGTAGAGTTGGCTGTGGGGGCTGGGGGGGGGTGGAGTTGGTGGGCGGGGAGGATGGTGGGAGATGTGGGGCATGTAGGAAGTTGGAAATATGGGAGGGCATGTGGACACTAGGCACCAGGGGTAATATGGAGAGTGAATAGTGGAAGTGCGAGTGGAAAGTGAACAAAATGTGGGGCATGGGAGATGGCATATGTATGGAGTTGAAAATGGGAGGGTGGGTAGAGGAGTGAGGTAACTGTAGGAGGGGATTGAAAGTAAAGAGGAGTGAGAAAAGGGAGGGAACATGACAAATAAGTCGTAAGTGGGTGATGAGAGGGGAAGAAAAGGTAGATGACAGAGGTGAAAAAGCAGAAAACTTGACATTTCTCTAAAATTATGCTCCTGAGGAAGCAACAGTATTCAGTAACAAGAATATTAGATTTTATAGAAACAATGTACTATATGTGAAAGATTAGCAACAGTTCTACCCCGAGAAAACAGTGACACAACAACTCTTGTTGCTGTAAAATCAAAGAGGATATCCCACAGTGCACTGTTAAATCTCAAGGTCATCTCCAGAGAAAACAAATCCATGTAGCTCTTCATCAAAAGACGATCTTTGCATTTCACAGTACTCTGTAGGATGTCCTGCTTCTTCTTCCCCATTAAGTCTCAAAAAGTCTGGTTAAACAGAAACTATATGTAACCAATGCAAGCATTATAAAGCAGCAATCTACAAACAGAAAAAAATATACAGCATGAGGCAAAACAGATCTTAACAGCATAATCCATGAATTAATCAAGAAAAACAAAATATTTACAAAGCTGAATTTTTTAATTGCATTTTGAATGAAAGACGACTTGAAAATATTACCTGAAGGGTACAGTATGCAACTTTCACACAATGAATGCTTCTAATCACAAAATACAACTAGTTTCAAGCTGCTCAAATTTTATTCAGTGAGCCACTGAGCCATACAGACCAGGAAAATCTCAAATTTGACCACTGGTCTATATCAGCCAATCTTAATCACTTAAACTGGACTTCTAGAGCTAATAAAATAAAAACAGAAGACACTAGAGAAATTCAGAGCTCTGGCAGCATCCATGGAGAAAGAAACAGCTAACATTTTGAATCCAATAACTCTTTCTTTTGCCACATTTGCTATCAGACCTGCTGAGTTTCTCCAGCATTCAGTGTCGATGCATTGTTTCGGAGTGAGACAAGTAGAAAGCTTCCAGGGTTCTGAGTTTTGATCTTTACTCACACTCTGCTACTGGCCGAGCCCCAGTGTGAACATTGTAAAGAGGCAGGACTGTGCTTCACCACAGTGAGAACTTTGCCAACATTCATATTACGAATGAGGTAAAACACTGGAGATTGACACTTGAATGTATCTCAGCATTAAATCTACACCTAAAACTGTAGAAAGGTTATGGCACATACAATCTCTTTGTGCAGACTGAAGAACACCTGAGGGAGGGTCACTCAATCCGAAACTTTAAGTCTGATTTTTCTCCACAGATGCTGCCAGGCCTGCTGCGCTTTTCCAGCAATTTTTATTTTTGTCTTTCTTTCTACTTTATCTTACCCTATATGCTTCTGGATAACCAAACAGCTTTAAGTATGGCAGTACCAGTGTTTTTCTTTTTGGGGACATGTTTACACTATGCTCATAGAATCTCTTTTGAATGCCTCCCACTTATTTGTTATTGAATTTCTTTCAAACACCTTTACTCCAAGTCCACTTTTAGCAGTTCACTGCTCAGCTTCATAAAATTTGTCTTCCCCGAATGTAGAACTTTTACTTCAGCTCTATCTTTGTCCCTTTCTACAATGTGCTAAATTTAACTGTACCACAGTTATCATCCACAAAAGTGTCACCCATTTTTCCTTCAATCACCTGCCCAGAACTGTTCTGAGGAAGCGTCACTGGACCTGAAATGTTAACTGATTTTTTCTTCACAGATGCTGCCAGACCTGCTGAGTTTTTCCAGCAACTTCTGTTTTTGTAGCTTAGAGAGAACATTGACTCTCAGCTTTTTCTTATCCCTCTCATTATCCTGCCTGAGTATTTCACATCCAGGGATGTTGAGCTGCTATTTTGCTCCTTTTTAAATCAGGTTTCCATTATAGCAATGATATTATGCTCTCGTGATTATCCGTGGCCTCAGCACATCAGCTATGCATGCTATTCTCATTGTCTTTACATATATACCAGTTAAGCTTAGTTTAAACCCTTCCCAACAGCAACAGCAAATCCCCCTGTGTGGATACTTGTCCCAGTCCTGTTGGGGATTACAAGCCCCATATTCCCCAGAATCAGTCCTAATGCCTCAGAAATCTGATGCCCACCCTCTTACACCAGCTTTCTAGCCACATGTTCAATTTTCCTACTTTCTGTAGAGGTGAATGGATTAAGATAAAAACATTGGCAAATGAAAAATTCAAGAAGTTAAAGCCCAAAAGAAATTTTAGACACAAGTCAAGATGGCAGGGATATTTTTATCATGATGTCCAGGCAATATAAATTCCTGGGCCTTATTAATATGATCAATGGGCTATCCTTCCGAACTTCATTGCAATTCAAGAAGCCAGCCTTCATGGCCTCACAGTTTTGAAGGCAAAAGGAGAAATGTATTTTTTACTGTGCAGTTGCATCCTCCATTTGGATCTTTAATTGTATGGCACAATCTCTTTGCTTCTGCCAAGATAATTGAAAGGCCTGCTTTCCTGATGCTTCCCTGGAATCCCTAGTGGAAAGGCTGACAGAAAGAAGGGAGCAACTATTCCCCGAAAAGAACAAAATGTCCCCAAGCATCTCATGACATTGGTCTAAGTAAAAGTCTAAAGTGGTGGTTAGAAGATTCCATGCAGACAACATCACACTCAGAACGTGTTCAATACAGTAAGGTTCAATGAAATCACATAAGCAGCTGGGAATTCAGAATGAAGCCAGATACATTTACATCGTCACTCCCTTAAACCCCAAATACAGCTAGCAATGTGAGAAATCAATTCTGAAAACACTCATGAGAATGCAATAGAAGATGTAGTCATCAGCATAAACAGTATCCTTCAGGATTTGCAGTTTTTGAGAGACAGCATATGATGATGATGATGATGATCTTTCACAATACAACACTCCCATATCCCCAATTTCTGCAACAGCTCTTTAATATTCTAAACATAATCCCCTCTTCCCTTACAACCTATAACTTATTTCTCACATTTCTATTTAATCACTTGCTCATCCTATCTTGATTCTTCCCACTTCTTAACATTTGCACAATATGCACAAATTCACACATCAATTGCCATTTACCACATTTACAAGTTTCTGTTGCTGTCAAAGATTATATCTGTAGTGATCATAATGAGGTCAGCCATCCCTGATTGGGGCTGTTAATCTGGTCCAATCAGGGAGCCCTAGCTGACGTATTAAAAAGGATAAGTGTCAGAGATACTGACACTCTGACGCTGAATGAGGCAGTACCAAAGTTAAGTACCGTTCATGCGTAAATAAAGGGTAACTTGGTGACGGTAGACCAGCCTCTGTGAAGTTATTTCAATATCAAAAATTTTCATAAATTCTCTTTGTTCATGTTCATTACTATATAAGACAGAATGACTATTCTGTTCCAGAAACAATTTTTTAAAGTTTGAAATGAATTTTTTGTGCTTCTTTATTTTGAAGCTCTGTAATGAAAAAGCTAATAGCTGAATCATACAGATCTCAACACTTATGAGGGAATTGGACACACCACATTTACACAATAGACTGTCTTATTGTTAGAAGAGTTAATTGGAAAGTTGAATAGAAAATAAGATAAAGATTGCTGTATGAAAGTGGTAATCTGCTTACCTTTACAGCCTCAGATAGGGTCTGATCCTTTTCTGCTTCTTCATTGGAATGTAGTTCCAGTTGTAATCCCAATTCTTGCATCTGATGTGCTTGTTCATTTAATAGCAGTTGGGCCTGCTGTTCTCTGAGCAAGGCATTATTTAGCTCTTCACAAATACTCCCAAATCTCTCAAATGGAACCATCTTCTGGGTCTACAAGAATACATTTATGGAAATAGTCTTTGAAAAAAGGTTAAATGGATTGGTGCATATTTGAACTTTACATGATAAACTGTTTGCATTGATAAACTATATCTGATTTTAATACTGTGCTTCATTTGTAAAAGATAAGTGTTGATTAATTTGTCTTTAGTGAAGAATTTATTAGCTAATCATTGCCATCAAATTAATCCTAAACAGTGAGTTTTAACAATTCTTTGTTGTGAGCGCGGAGCATGGAGAGTGGATGTAAATCAGACAGAAATCATTCACAATATCTGCAGGCATATATTTTCCACCAGGATTCATTAACAATTGATCAAGAACACCCCTTCCATAGGGTAGCAATGCAGAAGCCAAATTATAATATTTCAACAGCAATCTCAGCCAATTTCTCCGATATCAGGTAACAAACCCGGGATCATCTTCATCATAATAGACATGATCAACATAATGAATTATCAGAAGATTGGCATCCATTTGTGGCTCAAAATAGTTTCAAGGACAGACCCAATTTTGTCCTTAATTATTTTCAACGTAAAGGTTATGAAAAATATAGATAAAGCTAATGCCCTTAAACAAGATCAAGAATTTCATAAATCGTTCAGCAAATGATAATTTGCATCACCAATGGATACAGCAGTTTAGGAGTTATTTTATAATACTAATAAAAAAAAAATACAGGTTCAAGTGCAAACATGGCAACTTGAGAATTTGGATTTCATTTCAACCATCTGGAAATTTGAAAAATGACGGCATTATCAAATATGTCTATATAGCTGGCTGATTCTTGTAAATATTCAATTAGTCTGACTAATTTTGCACCATCCTAAACTAAAGTCTTTTAACTTAAAGAACCATGATTCTACTCAGAAACCAGTAAAACAGGGAAAAGTGTAATGAATGTGTGATTTGATACAGTCATCATTCATAGTATCATAATTTTTATGGTTAGTATACCAGGATAAAGCTTATCCAATGGATTGTTATGCTAGTTCAAATACAATCCCTATTTCAGTAAGAAATGTATATTGTTTTCAAGGTACAGTGCACAATGTCACTACATATATCGTTTTGCATAACCTATTCAATGAGTTCATGTAGTAACTTTTACAACACTAAGTGAGACAAAAATTACCTTGCATCTATCATTTAACAGACTCCTAAAATCTCTTCATGAAACTTAAAAACCAATAAACATGCACCATTCAGGAGATATTCTAATTAAATCAATGCTTACTTTTAATGTTTTTATTAATCCAACCTAGTTTCCTTTTGGCTTTACACTAAATTTGACAAGTAAAGCTAACACAGTCTGTTGACTTATGCCAATAAGTAAGTTAGCACAAATGGCATGAAGATCTTAATGCCTTCAAAAATACGCAGTTACATAATGCAAACAATTTTTAAGAAGTGCAGTGCTGGATGCTGGAAAATGCACAGCAGGATTTTTTTTTTAAGTAAAAACTAAGTCTGATAATGAACAAAATAAAGAACTGTTCACCTTCATAGACTGCTTGAGGTCACTTAGCTGCTTTTCAAGGGTGTGGGTCTTCCCACTTTCTCTTTTCAGTTCATTCATGCAGTTTTTGAGTTGTGTAAGCTCCAAACGCAATGAGCGACGTTCAACTTCTGCTGCATGTAACCTCTGAGTAAATTCAAGGATCTGTTTCTTCAATGCTTCTACACATTGCTGATTGAGAACATAGCATTCGAAAATAAGTGTGTTAACTTTTGTTAAACTGTTGTAAAAAAATAAAATTATGGAAAATACAAACAGAAATTGACTGGACTGTGCTAGTCTTGCATAACTGAAATTAATTACATCCATTATATAAACTTTAGTTCTCCATAAGTTCCAGTATCCTGGAAACTTGAACTTGCTTACTCGTCAAATTAAGGCTCCTACTAACTAAGTATTTAATGCTGATAAATCTGAATTCAATCTTGCTTAATAATTATGCTTAACTTATTAACTAACCTCCATAAAGTAAAAGGTTTTATTCTGTAACCAATTAGGCACATCCTACAGAAGAAGGGTTTTCATCAGTAGTATGGTGTTTCTATTGCAGAGTATGGTGCCTCAACGAAAAGTGGGAGTGTGTACTGGAAGTGTTTAGCCACAAAAATATTAGTTCATATATTCTGATTGCTAGATAATTGTTGGAGGAACACAGACTGTTGTTGGGACTCTGCAGAATCCCAGGCCCTACTGACTCTATGGGAATTGGCAGGGAAATTGCAGACATGCAGTTCCCCTGTACCTGGAGTGTTCCAAAAGAATCCATTAAAGATAAAGAACTTCAGGGTTGTGCATCCCTTAAGTTAATAAATTTCCTAGGAAATGTTAGATGATTGAAAATTTAGTTTAACTCCTATATGACTATTAGGCTGACCCCTCTGCCTTACCATGCCAAATCCCACAAAAACACCTCCACCGACCCCTTAGACACCCCACATCCCTGACAAACACACATCTCTCCCCCCACCCACTCCCTCCAGATCCCCGAAAACAAAATTCCACCGCTGACCCTAACACCCGCCTTACCTGCTAGCCTTGACATCCTACCCTTACCGCCTCGCCATTCCTGGTGTATCAAACCCCCCTACACTCCCCACCACCCCACCCTTCCCAGAACCCTGCCCCACTCCAGCCCCCAACTCCCTAACTTGCCCTAAGCACTGCCATCACTTACCTGGCTGGGGCACTAATCATCTGGAACCCGTAACTACGCTTATCTTAGGTACTTTCACAGCAACTGTCAACGTCCCTGGTTGTGCTGCAGAACACGTCACATCAGCTGCTGTAAAAAGGGCTGTGGTCTGAACTCCCCAACTATCCCATGCTACAGGGAACCGTGTGGATTTTAGACATGCTCCTCATTTCTAAAGGATCCAGGTTAGGATGCCAGCCCAAAAAGCAAAGTTCAGTACCAATGGCAAAAAAAAAACAGAACTAACTATAAATCTGACTCCAATTGCCATTCCTCTCATTATCCAGTTAGTTATTTTATGACTTTTAAAGCAAACTTTAGATTTGGTATATTCAGGTTTAAAACCTGTTCTATCATATTGAGGTTGAGTTTTTCTCTTCATTTTGTTGTGCAAGTCTACATACAAATTGCAGCAAAAATGTATGGTGCTAATCCACAGTTAGTTCAACTTTTAATGATTCAATAACAGGAAAATGGATTAAAGTAAATAGACCAAGTGCAGGAGTGAGGCTAGGAACAAGCACAATGGATTAATTAATTAATTGATTTTATACATGAGATTTCTATGAATGAATAAAAGCATAGCACTACTTGTACTATTAGCACATAAAAATAATTCAATAGTTTGACTGATTGGAAATCACTATTTCTCAATAAATTTCAGCATTCTAAATACTTAAATCAAAAGTCTCAAAATAATATTGTGTGAAATCTGAAAAGAAGCACTTCGACTGATTTAAGCATTGAACAAGTTTAAAATATTGATGTCTACATTATTCAACTAAAACAAAACTGTGCATTGTTAGACTTTAGCTTTAACAATATTCATAAAAATGATTGATTTGGTTAAACTGGTCAATAACAGAACTATTGACAATACCTTTATAGGCATTGTAACCTGTAGTCCTTCTTTCCCTGCTTTGGCATTGGCTTTACATAGTCCATCACCCAGTATTTGGACTAATGATTTTTTGTTCCCATTTCCAAAGTGTCTATTACACCATAATGGAATATTTTCCATTTCCACACTTAGTCTGTCCATGAGTTTTGAAAAGGAAATCTTGGCTGCATTTTCCATTGAACAGCTTGAAAGATGATGATTTGGTTCTAGATGAAGAAATGATAAAAGCTCGTAAATCACTATACTTTCATTTAATTCTTTATTTTATTTAAAAGTGTATTTAGATAGTCCAATCAAATACAGAAAATTGGCAAATAATGTATTTCACGTAGAAATGCATAATTCCATCAACTATCCCAATCCTTGGCACTATGATAGTTACCTCCAAGTTAAGATGTAACTTATAGATAACACAGTGTGGAAGGGTCCCATCCTAAAACGTCAGCTTTCCTGTTCCTCTGATGCTGCCTGGCCTGCTGTGTTCCTCCAGATCCACACTGTGTTATCTCTGACTCCAGCATAGGCAGTTCTTACTATCTCTAAGATGTAACTTACCTTTTTATTCCAATACAATCAGAATTTTATGACTCGCACCATTACTTATTTCCCTAATGGGAGTCTGGTAATTATCCTTCTCATATGATGGTTTTATGGCCTCAGCACAACAAACATGCTCTACACATTGCTAGTTTTGTCAGGTTTATAATTAATAAATGTGTTTCATGTAGATAAGTGAAATTATCATGTGTTACTGTGTCCCATATACTCTGCATTTTCAACAACCTTTGACATTTAAGATATGTCTTTTCCCCCTTTTACTGGTCTGTGTTCCACAGAAAATCCTAATCCATCTGTTGTGATCACTATTTTAAAATATAGACATAATTAAGGTTTATATGTTCCATAGCACTGAAGAGGAGAAGCAGGTTGTCAAACAGTGTGTAGTATTGTCATACCAGAGTAAGACTGAGTTGCATGATATGAGGTTTGAAATGAATACCAGCCTGCTTGCCAAAAGCGAGTGATTAAAGAAGCAAACTCATCAAATTTACTAATTATTGTATTCAATATTATAGGGTTGATGAAGCAAGGTATGATTGTTTCTTGCAGTGACTGTAAATGTGTGGTTGCAATTCAACTTGAATAACTCACATTAATGTGGTTACATGTACAGAGATTGTGATGGTGAAGTTAAAGGCATTTTTTTCCATTAGCAGAGGTGTCAAGAACCACAGGTATAGATTTAAAGTAAGAGGTAGAAGCTGAGAGATGTTGAAGAGAAATTGTTTCACTTAGAGGGTGGTGGTTTCTGCAACTCACTGTTCAAAAAAAGCAGGTTGCTGAGTCAGGAACTATCGTATTATTTAAGTAATATTAAGATATTCACTTGCACTGCAAGATGCTCCACAGCTATGGGCCAAAAGCTGGAAAATGGGATCTGGTTAGTCAGATCGTTGTTGACTGACACAGATGTGATGGATTGAATGGCTTCCTTCTGTGCAGCATACATCTAGGAGTATTCTGTCGCTTATAAAATAGTTCAACCTATATTGCCAAACCTTCACTGTTGGTGGATAAAATTCCTAGAACTCCCTCATAGTACTGTATCAGACGGACACCAGTGGTTCAAAAAGGTGTCTCACCACTACCCTCTCAAGAGTTGGGCAACAAATGCTGGAATTGCTAGCAAGGCCCACAGCCCATGAAAGAATAAATAAAATGGTCCAACCACAGTAAATAATCTAGTCCCTTTTTGAAAGGATAATGGATTGAAATGAGTTCTTTTTTATAACTGAAAATAACAGTTACATAAACAGAGAAAGAAATAGGAGAGCTGCAGGATGTTTTACTAAAAGAATCAGAAATAACGTTGTTCCAAAACCAGGGAAAAGCCAATACGCCTCATCAAGCAGAGCCACAGAATTAATTCCTTTTGGGATGTTGACATGAATGATGTAATAATACAAGTAGTATTTTTCACTTTAAAATAAACACAGAAAGATGTGTTGTGATTGCTTTTTCCTGTTGCACTGGTTAGATCTTAAGTTCTGGGACTACATGGTGCTCAAATATTTGTCTCCTGGCTTGATTTTGATAATTATTACATTCCTTGAGAAAAGTAGTATGATCAGACTTTAGAAATATTTTTGTGCTACCTGATCATTAGGGGCATGTATTTAAAAAAAACACAAAATTTCTATTTTATTATATGCATTAAAACCCTCTACTTAAATGATTTCCAGTAACATATAACATCAAAGTCAAGTAACCCAGGTATTGGTGATACACTAGCTCTCACCTAATGGTCGATGTCTGCATTACAGTTGAAACTGAAACGGAGTATTTTCTTCCTGTAAGCCAACATCAGTAGACGTTGTTTGGAAAGGAAATTGTACTAGAGTAGAATTTCCCAAATTGCACAACATATTTTAGCATTACGCTTCAACTTCGATGCAATAATTTGGCCAATGCTGTATGATGCAGGTCATGTACAATTCAATTATACCATAACTGGAAAAGATGCATGTGAAACAGCTGTCAAAACTGAGCCATATCTCTTTAACCTCTGCGATAATTTAACAGATCATTTGGTGCTCTTACAATCATATGATAAAAAGTACCGTAAAGGTACATAAAAGGACTTTGGATATGACTAAGCCAAAAGCGCAACAAAAAGTTTCGGGTATCATCCTTCCAAAAAGAAAGTATCACAACACCATTGCTGAAATATAATTTCTAAATATGCTTCAGACATATATTTCAGCCCTGCTCAGTCATATTCTCAATTCTAAATAACCACAATTTCATAGTATCAGGATACAATTTAGCTATTACTACACCCTTGTTATGTATAGAATTGACTGCCTACAATATTTAAAACAGTTTGTAGAACTCAGCATTGTGACCAACAATACATTAAACTGGTCATGAGAATACATGCTGCTCCACGCATTTTGGACCTCTATTCACATTATCTCACTTAAACTCCAGAGGCAGTCAATGAGAGAGTGAGAGCGTGAGAGAATGAAAAAGACACAGACGCAGAGACAGAAATTATTATGTGACAAACATTATAAGTACTGAACAACATTGTTTTAATATTGTACAGGTTGTGATGGTACATGCAAACAGTACTACGTTTCAGTTCTTGGCACTTAAAACTACAGCATTTGAAAATGAACCATACACTAAAGCTGCAGATAACCACCATTATAAACTAGAGACTGACAAACATGCAGGTTCCTTTAGAGACCATGCCAGATTGCTGAAAGTGCATTCAGCAAGGTATATCTTCATTCTGTCCGATGTCAACTTCATTTCTTTTTTTGTGGACTGCTGTCGAACTGTTGTCATGCACACTGACTGGTAATAATTCCAATCAATTTAAATTAGGTCTATGATTTTTTTAATGCAATAAATCAATAAAGAAATTAAGGGTTATGTAGAGAAGGCAGAAATGTGGAATAGAGGAGTATCAGATCAGCCATGAGCTCATTGAATTGCACAGCAGACTCACTGGGCCGAATGGCTTACTTCTGCTCGTATGTCTTATGGACTTAAATTCATCGGAGAAAGTATGAATGTTTAAAGCTAATCATTTATTTTTAAACCTTGCATTGCACAAATAAAAGTAAAGTTCTATATAATTGCAAGAGATTTACAAAAAACAAATCTACAGGTAAAATAGCCAATATTTATCTCCATGTGAAGATTTATGGGACACTGACAATCACGAAGGTCTCAATTGTTGCTAATGTGGTGCTAGTATAATTTATGTAGGCTAAATTTATGGTGCTTGCATTCAAAAAGCAGATTCAATAGTTCTTTTTTCATTCATGATGTTTTTGGGCATTGCTAGTAATAGCAATCCCATTCTAACAACACTTTGGAAGGTGGTGAAAGCTAGGTATGTCATGGAGTCATACAGCACAGAAACAGACAATTTGGTCCAACTTGTCCATGCCGATCAAGTTTCTCAAACTAAACTAGTCCCATTTGCCTATATTTGGCCCATATCCCCCTATACCTTTCCTTTTCACATCTGTCCAAATGTCTTCTAAATGTTCTAACTGTACCTGTACCTACCACTTCATCTAGCAGTTCATTCCACAAACGAACCACTCTGTGTGAAAATGTTGCCCCTCAGATCCCTTTTAAGTCTTTCTCCTCTCACCTTAAACCTATGCCCTCTAGTTTTGAACTCCCCTACCCTAGGAGAAAGGCCTTTGCTATTCACCTTATCTAAGACTCTAATGATTTCATAAAGCTCTATAAGGTCACCCTGAACCTCATATGTTCCATAGAGAAAAGTCCCAGCCTCTCCTTGTAACTCAAACCCTCCAGTCTCAGTAATATTCTTGTAAATTCTTTTCTGAATCTCCAATTTAAGAAAATCCTTCCTATAGCAGGGTGGCCAGAACTGAACTCAGTACTTCAAATGTGACCTCACAAATATCCTGTACAACCATAACATAATGTCGCAACTCCTATACTCAACAGTCCGAGCAATGAAGGCAAGCGTAAAAATGCCTTCTTTACCACTCTGTCTACCTGTGACGCAACTTTCAAGGAACTATGTACCTGAACCCCTAGGTCCCTCTGTTTGACAACACTCCCTAATGCCCTACCATTGACTGTGTATATCTTGCCCTGATTTGTCTTACCAAAATCCAACACCTCTCATTTAGCTAAATTAAACTCCATTTGCCACTCCTTAGCCCATTAGTCCAATTGATCAAAATCCTTTTATAATCTTAGATAACCTTCTTCATCTACGATACCACTAATTATGGTGTCATCCACAAACTTTCTAACCATGTTTCCTACATTCTCATTCAAATCGTTTATATAAATGACAAACAACGGTGGACCCAGCACCGATCCCTGTGAAACATTGCTGCTCATAGGCCTCCAGTCCGAAGAACAACCCTCTAACAACACCCTCTGTCTTGTACTGTCAAGCCAATTTTGCATCCAATTGGTAAGCTCTCCCTGAATCCCATGTGATTTAACTTTACTAATTAGTCTACCACGCAGAACCTTGTTAAAGGCCTCATTAAAGTCCACGTAGGCAAAGTCTACCACTCTGCCTTCATCTATCTTCTTGGTTACATCCTCAAAAAAACTTAAGTGTGTAAGACAGGATTTCTCAGGCACAAAGCCATGCTGTCTATCCCTACATAACAAGGCGTAGAGCTGGATGAAC